TATCAGATATCATTTTTACAAAAAAGTAGGTCAAGATGATTTACTTTATGTATTTTACAAGTATTCATATACATTTGGAAAGAAAGTTCATGGCTATTTTTTTAACATTTCAGATACTAATAATTGGCTAGGAACCCGCTAACTTTGTCATTTGATGCATCTCGGGTCTTTGGAGTGTGTCAAATGAAAAGTAGGTCACATTGACCGACTCTAGGAATTGCACTGCTAAATTTTAATATTTTAAACTCTGAAACCTAAGAGCATCAAATGTCCTGATTGGGAAAATACATCTCGTTAGCCAAAGGTTTCCGATCCGAAATCTACCTGAATTTACTGTAGAGTAGATTTTGGATCGGAAACCCTTGGCTAGCGAAGATGGGAAAATACAGCTTTTATCATTTCTATCTGTTGCAATCAAAATATTTGATGATAGACAAGTTGACTCTACGTGTAAAAAAAACATTGAGTTGACAATCCGTTTGAAGCTTATTTTCATTTCATCCAAGCTGTGGCAATGTTTTTCTTAAAGACAAATGATTTTAATCCCAAATATTTTGAAAAATATGTAGAGTTTTCTATCTAATTTTGAAAGGCGCGCTCCAGTCATAAGATAGAGATCATGGAGATTATATAGTCAGACCATTCTTTCAGGGTAAGTCCATTTGATGTTAAGGGGTGGATGTAGGTATTCATTCGTGGTAAATGACCAGATTTTATTGACAACTTTCGATTTAATAACATTAAACAATATGATTACAAAGCTTTATTAAGTAAAGTCAGATCAGTAAACAGAAATAAAGTATTATAGTAGTTTAATTTTTACACATGTACGATGATAAGTATGCAATTTAACGCAATGCAATGAAATGCATGATCATATTTCAGACAGTAAAAAAAGTATGAAAAAAAAACATAACTGAAAAGTTAACATATTACCAATGAACAGAAAACAGGAAATAGAGATTATCGAATTGCAGAAAGTTCATTATCATTAAAATTAATATGAAAAGAATGAAAGAGTATTATCACAATTCATAATTCTTGACATTTAATGATCAATGAAATCTACAAGACATTAAAAAATAAATAAATTTCCCTGCATCTTTTCTTAAAATTAGTCTTAGTACCACGGGGTCGTTGTTGTGGTCGTGGTCCAGTCGTTCACGTCCTCCATTCTTTTGACTATGAAGAGGGCAATGAGGATGACAACACAGATGAGACCGATTCCAAGCGAAGTCAAGGTCAACCATTTAGCCACTCCAGCACTGGATCGTCCGCCGTCGTAGTCACCAACATCGAACAGGGACCTTGCCTGAATAAGTAGTAATAATTCAATGTCTGTTGTATTGTTAATATAACAGCGATCTTAAGATGTATAACCTTTTTCAAGGATCTATGTTAGAAGTTAAATTTTTGTTGCATTTATTCTTGAAAGTTATTTATGTTCATGTAAATATTATTTAAGTTCCATCTAATTAAAATTAGACTTCTTAGATCCACGCGGTATTTATTCTTACGCAAAGTGAACACGGCACGGATCTAAGAAGTCTTATTTTAATTAGATTGAAAATATGGTACATTGTTAGAGATCAAATTCCATTTGTTTTATTGAACAGAAATATGATTTTTCAGTTTCATATTTAAATGTAATTGCATTGTAAAAGTAAAGTCATTGTTCAATGGATCAATCCATGTGCATTCCATCTCTCTGTCTATCTCTCTACATATATCTTGCTTTTATTCTTTTTTTTTTTTATAAAAGATGCACATCCTACATTGACGGCTGCAATAATGGCGCAGATTCCAGTAGGCCAGAAGCAGCAGAGACACGAAAAAATGGCGGGAACCAGCCAGTCATTTCCTCTTGGTGGAGCAACCACAACAATAGGTGTAGGAGCACTAGTTATCTAAGGATAAGAGTTAAATTCATCAAGTTATCTGTGCAGGGTTAGATTAGATCGGAAACTCTTAATGAATTTCAATCCTAATAATTATGTACAAGTACATGTACTATCATATTTGTAAATTTCATGTTTTGGACAAAATACATTTTAATTCCAAAATCACATGAGACTTATACAACGACATTTGAAGACGGGTTCGTCGTTGGGAAACCAGAAGTAAAACCCGCGGATTGTTGCTGGTCGTATGCAGGAAGTTGGTTGTACTCCGTATTGTGTGCTGAAATAGTGCTAACAATGATAGTTTTGATGAAATTTAGGCATTTTAAAAAATACAGAGATCGTGATTGAAGAATTCTTTTAATTATACATATTACAGGTATAAAATTTTGATCGCCCTGTGCAGACCTTTCCTATCATATTCATTCATTGGTAATCTGATTAAAATCGGATCCTTTCTGTTCATCCGCTCACATACATCGCTACACAAGAATCCTTTTGTAGCGATCTATGTGAGCGGAACATATAATAAATATGATTTTACTCAGATTGTATGTATTATATAAATATTGCATGTAGTTGAGTGTTTGAGTGTAACATTGAAAATTTTCACCCCAAGAAAGCATTGTCAAGTGAGGCGCATTGAAAATTTTCACCCCAAGAAAACATTGTCAAGCAATGTTACACTCATACATGGGCCATTTTCAGAAAAAGTCTACTTTTTTGTCTTTCGATCAGAAAAATAGGAAAAACATTTTTTAGAGTGAAAGTTTTTTTCCCGTTGGTTAATATACATGGTCATACAGCTTATAAGTTATTTTATGATCAAATTCTGAGTAAAATTTAACAGTAAAACCATGTCACATTAACAAAAATTTTATAACGTGCTAATTTAAATGATAGGGAAAATAACCATGTGAAGATATGTACAAATTTTGCGACTCATATTAATTAAATTTATTTACAGATTAATTTAATATGATTGTTTTACTTATGCCGCCCACTAAATGCTAGTATTGTGCATTTAACATTCAGGAAGTGACATGTCCCTCCAGTTTATGTCATTCCTGTTACCAGAAAAAAAATGTTAAAATAAAAGTTATCTCACTTTCCTAGGAACTGTTTTCATGATCCACAATATATCATCATTTTCTGTTGTCTCAAGTTTATGAGCGCCATGATTTGAAAGTGATTAAATAAAGGGTTCAAAGGTCGATACGTTTGTCTTACTGATAGAGTATAATTAAAATACATCCTATCTGTTACCTTCTTAATATGCAAGTACTCTTTAAATTGTTTATTCTGCTAAAACAATTAGATTAACTAAGCTACAAAGAAATTGTTTATGTCTATGATGCAAAAAGATACGTTATACTAAATAACGAGTGATTTATATGAATAACGTCCATCCTGTTACTGTCATTCCTGTTACCATTAATATGGTAACAGTAAGGAAAACTGGACTTCATATCTTGAGTTTTAACAATAAAAACAATTACTTTTATTTTTCTAAGAAATAAAAGTTTAATAACACATGTTAAAAAACTTCGTAAATCATATTGAAATATGTTAGTGCTTAAAATAGTGCCATTACTACTTAAACATGCACTCTTGTAACAGAATGGACAGAGATTGTAACATATAGGGACAAATTATCCTGTATTTATATACCGATTTAAGTTTTATCATTTGTTTTTCTTAAAATTATGAAAAATTCTTATTTTGCAACAGCATAGAGTACCTTTAAAAAACAAAAATTGAAGTGATAAATATTTTAATAGCACTCTACAATTAAATTTGTGGACATAAATGTCTTTTATTGTCTCGAATTTGCCAGATTTGACAAAATCATGTTTTTATTCTACATTTATTTCTCTTTTCCTAAACAATAAAGTTAAAAAAAGTCAATTTTTATTTAAAATGTAGATTTCATTGTCTATCCTGTTACACTGATTTGTCCATCCTGTTACTGTTTTGTCCTTCCTGTTACCCAAGTCCTTACTGTTACCAGTATATTTTCCTAGTTTAAATTGCTTTGGCAGAGCACCTGTTTAAATAACTTTATGTAACTGTTTATTCTAATCACAAAAATAATGTACAACAATTTTTTTTTTCAACTATAGCATATAGATATTCACCATAAGGCTTTTCATGAAGAAAAACCCATAGATTTTGCTTCTGTTTGGTATATGGTAGTTTGACATGCTTTTAAACGATCATATATTAGATGAATGTCAAACATCTTGGCATTCAATGATATTTTTTTCATTTTTTAATGATATACAAAAGATTATTTGATAAAAATTTTGAAATAGAGTTTTACAGCTCTTTTTATGAAAGTAACAGGAAGGACATTAAAATTTAAATGACTAAGATAAAATGTCAATATTTTTAAAAAGAAATATTTTCTTTTATGCAATGCAGTGGATTTTAGGAGTTTATTACTATATTATTCAAATAAAGTTGAAAAAATTATAGTAAAACCACTTTCATTTTTCAAAAATATGTCATTCAAAAAATAGACTTTTTTTGAAAATGACCCACATGCAATATTTATTATATTATACTGAATGTTTTATACAAATACATATAACAGTGAACCGTGAGCGCATAAATTCAACACAGTTGCTTTTTTTTGGAATATCACCCGTAGTTAATCAATGTTGACTGTTGCTAACTTGCTACGCTGGAGGGCGTGGCTTCATTATTCAGCGGGTAATAGTGTTTTTTAATAAATGTTTCTCGACCAATCAGATTCATCTAATTTACATGCACATGAAAGTATAATATTGATAAATATAAATAGGACGTCTGCTTCCGGAACTAAAATGAATGTTATAAGTACGCCATTTAAACAGATTTTAATAACAAGTAAGAAATTAACTATTGGGGGTACAATGTATTTTTATCGAGTTTATTTGGGATAGGTCAACCTATCCTTTTGATATGTTTCATGAGGAGGTTTTACAAATCCCCCCCCCCCCTTTGTTTTAAATGAGATGAAGTATTGTGTCTCTAATTAACAGTTTAAATAAATATATTTTGAGATCATTAATGAATAATAACAGGTTAAGGGTAGCATTCACAAATTATCCAATGCATTTATATATCAAATGCGTGATTCCTTTGTCATGATACAGAACTGAATTGAATGTACATGTAAAACTCAACAATCGGAAAATTTTGTCTATTTACTAGACATTCATTTTTTTTCCTATGAAGCACATATTTATATATTTTTAAAAGGGTAACAATACAGCTTATGTTAAGGAACTGCAAGCATATTGGGATCAGGCAAAAATATCATTAAAAAATCTGAATGGATGAGCAAGAAAAAAGTAATATACATACTCTTAAAAATCTAATCCTTAACCGTCGTTTAGATGGAATTATGGGGAAAGGGGTGTAAATGTCTTTTTTATATAGAAAATGGCCAAACAAGTTCCAAATAAAACAAAAGTGACACAAAATAGGCCGGATTTACATGTCATTCCTGGCATGACAAAATTAATATAAGCATTGCAAGGTCAAAATTGTCCTCGTTTACAACTCATTCACGATCAAGTTCAAAATTATCCAATTTCGCTATTGTTTATTTTGATTAAATAAAAAAACATTTTCATGTTGATGATTTGTTGTTTGTCTGCAATTGTTTTATATATGCAATTTATAAAGTTTACAAAATCGAATGTTTTACATTCAATGTCTGAAATGTAAATAATTCCTGTTTATTTTACCTTGTCATTAAAGTTGCAAGAATTTAATTAATCTAACTGGGTTTTATTTGCATTTGACCCTAACAACGTTGAGCTCGAGGTTGCCGAGGTCGAGTATGTACCAATAGAATTTATAAGTATCGACCTTATTTCTTTGATTGCTAATGACCGAGAGTCACTCTCACTTTCTTCAAAGATCCTGGGCATAATATATTAAGTGTTTTCATTCGTCCATCGTGAATAGTCATATCAAAAAAGCAAAGATGTCCTAAATGAATTCTAATAGAACATTCTGAACCGTTTGTAAATAAATTGGTTATTTTATCAACTTTTTACCAAATTTTAGATACATTTTAGTCACATCGTTATTGGTTTGATGAACAATGACTGTAGTGGATACTGATTCTTTTCAGTGATAGAACCATTTCCAGGTTAGTTTGGACTTTCAGTAAAGCGTGACATTCTTGTGCGCTATGTAGTACGTAATAAGCGTCTGTCAAATGGCATATAGATTCCCATCGGTTTAGAAATCAATAACATCAGGAACTTAAAATGTTATTGACAACGATGAGACGACTTAAGCTTCACCTCTTTGCCGGACGAGACACCATTATTGGTTAATTTTCGATACACTAATTCGCAATTACATGTATGTAACGACGAGAATGCCATGCCTTACTGAAAGTCCGGACTAACCTGGAAATGGTTCTATTTTGAACAATGCACATCAAGTGTATAATATTTAAAATAGTAGGACATAATTCTAATTAAAAAAAAACATATTTATAACGACGAAATTCTATTTCAGTCAACATAATTAAGGTAATTTCTTGTAAATCTTATGTACATGTATATATGCATCCTTGTTCTATACTCGTGAATAACCAGCAATCATACATTTTGTTTTTTGGTTAAATCAAGCTCAGTGTTAATTTTACCCTTCTCTTTGTTTCATTGATATTTAGTATTTTATTTACAAGTAATACGTACAAGGATAAACCAATACTCACGATCTCCTTCTATTTTTTGTCCACTAAACATCTTTGTTCTGCTTCAGAATTTCTATTTATCACAATAAATGTATTTTAAACTGTAAACATAAATTCTTGTTTCTGAATCAAAACACTTTTCTTAATATACTGGCAAATGCTTGTTCAAAATCATGTCAACTTTCTTTGTACGCTTTACTGTTGTATGTTTTATCCGGAAATAAATATCAATGGGGTTGAGTGATAGTAAGTAATAGTATAATCAACCAGTTGTACCTTCTCCTCTTTTGGGAAGTCACGTATTTTAAAAAGACTTAAATATAAAAAATATTGACAATTGAAATGCAAAGTTTTCACCCATAGTTTCCTTTCCAAAGACAAAATCATGTCAGTTTTAATTAATTTTTGATACGAGGGTTGATCCAAAAGAAATGTCACAACTTTGATAAAATTGTTATAAATTGACGTAAAACAACATTTATACATTATGAAAGCTTTATTTATTGCTGATCAGACCTGAAAAAGTCAAAGGAATGTGATGTATACTTTTCAAAATATCAGATTTTTAACAATTTGCGTTTATGGTAGTCGCCGCACCTAAGTATAACGTCACATGACGGATACGCACCGTCATTTTTTTTAAGCGTTTCCCCTTCTTTTCCTTTAAAAGTATCTTTGAATCGCAAGCACTTTTATCAATTTCACTTTTTAAAAGAATTCTAGGTACTATTATACACGCACCTTTTTCATAATTTAGCCCTCTATGAAAATGTTTTGAACAGTAGCATATGACAAACTTGAAAATTCACGTCACTCTATCCGTCTGTCATTTTGACAGTCAGACACCATAGAAGTGTGATATCATGAAATCTATTTCTATATGTATTTATTCGTTTTTATTTATTTTTTTATATCGTTTTGAGAAATAAAATCTTAAAATTTGATTAACTAAAAGTTCTATTGCGCACCTGGATTGAGTTGCTTGAGTAAAGTTTTATTCTATGATTTCATTGGCTCTTTCATTTGATTGGTTATTTGCTATTTTTTCATCCAATAATACATTTTCATTATAAGTATAAATTTACCGCGCTTTACCTTGTAAATAAGAGCAGTAATACGTTTTCCAGAAAGAAGTATATTTTAAATCCATTGTCCATCATACGCATCTTATGGTATGTAACTTGTATATTTGATTATGTGTTTCATTGCCATAATAAAGATTTGATTTACGTTATCATTTTGATTGCAAACGTTTTACTTTATTGTATTTTTGCATTCAAAGTTGTAACTGAATAGTAATGAGTCTGTAAGATTTCAATTTGAATTGTTTACAGTACACATTTTTTCATGGAGTTTATTTTTTCTTAAACGTATACTGTAGGTAAATTATCTCATATGTTATTTTCTCAATTTTTGTAATTTTGACTTATTATGTACTTTGTTTATATTAGATCAATGCCTTTAATTCCTGAATAAATTATGAAAACATAACATCTGCCTTACTGCTCGGTTACAGAAGGTTTCCGTCCGATCTCCTATCTTTCGGTCTTCTTGTCCTCTACTGATAACTCAAAGACCCATCACCCGCCCAAAATTGCTTAAACTCTCTATAAAGAAGTCTGTTATTTACATTCTTTATTCTGTGAGTCTGATTAATTAACGTTACTCTCGCTGGCGATGATTCCCATATTTGGAAGCAAAAATGTATTACAACTATTCGAGCTGCTTTTCCTCATTTTGACATTAATCTCTTTGTTCAATTCATCCGATTAAAACAACAATGTTCATGATCAAAAATATCAAAGCCGTCATTTAATTTTCAATTAAAGACTAGAAAATGGCGTGAATTGTGGTCTTTTAACATTTGGTAGATAAGGTGCTTTTTTAAGAATCTTTTTAATGTGTTTGTCTTTTTCATTCTAAGAGAAAAATATATTTTAAAACGTGACGTTCAGTTGTGACGCGGCGACACCCCCATGCTATATGTTTTAAACATCTATATGATAAATTCAAATAAACATAATTGAATGAAAATTCAATGTTAATTAGATTTATATATTTTCATCTTTTGGTATATTGTATATTATAATGTGACGCCAAATATAAAAGAAATGGACACTGTGACATTACTTTTGGATCAACCCTCGTATATCCAACAATCAAAATGAAATTGAATGACTATACCTTTACTTGATTTCTTAAGTTCATACAAACAATGATACGTAGTGAGTTCCATTAAATGTTCTTTCGAGCCTTTTTCTTCACTACTCACTAGAAAATCAACAGACATAGAGGAGTAACTTAAATTTAGGCGCACTATATAAAAAAATATTGGAGAAGTTGTATAAATCAGAATGATGTGGATACTTTACACTCAAAAATTTAAAGAAAAGATATCACAAAGGTTTACAGAGGCAATAACATCACATGTATATCTTTTCAGCAATTTGCATAACTATTCCCTGGGATAAATTAAAGTCCTGGTTTATTTAAAATCATAGACAGCTACTTTTGCAAGAACAATTGAACTCGTTTATTACCTACTCTTTTCATTGGTAATTTGCAAAAAGGTTTCTTGTTGAAAAAGTCAAATACTAGTATTGAAGCTTCGGTTTTCATCAACAATATCTCTGTAGTTTTGGAGATCTTCCATCAACCTGTTGGAATTTCCATGGGTACCAATTGCGCCCCGTTGTTAGCCTCTGTTGTATTTATGTAAACCAGAATTAATTTTAAAAATTCTTCATGAGTAAAAGAAAACACTTGCTATGGTCTTCAACTCGACATTAAGATATATCGATGACATATCATTAAAAAGAATTAAATAATTCATATGTAAATTCGATCTATCCCGGAGAACTTGAAATTAAAAGCCACAGAGTCTGGTACATTTATTTAATATTTAGTTATTTTACTTTTTCAAAAAAAGGGGGGGGGTTAGAGATTACTTTAAAACAAACTCTTTTTCTTTTTCCCATTTATTAACCATCCTTTCTGTTTCAGCAATACAATCGCCCCTTTTTCGAAAGGTCTTTGTTCTAACCATGGCCGCGATTGACCTACGTGGATGATATATAGGGAGCAATTATTCCTTCGACAAGAGCTCGACACTTTAAGTAAAAGTCGCAGGCTAAAAAAAAAAACTAGACTCCATGTAACAGCAGGCGTTAACATGATAAAGATTCATTACAGCTGAATGGCTCTGAGTTTCGAGTAAAGGTCTAAATTTAGAATTGGACGTAAAACAAGATTCAATAAATCAATCTAGCAATCACCAATATATAGCTGATACGTATATGGAGTTAATGTGTCCCAATTGAATCGATACGCAAGAACATGCTCTGCGTTTTAAAAAACACAAGATCAAACTTTCAAGTTTGAAAAGGAGGCAAGCTTTTAACCAACTACTGGTAGATGAAGAAACAAACAAATATTAAAAGTCTCGTTTGAAGTTATCATTTTTCAAGGTCTATGGTCGATACAATGAGCTTAATTATCAGCAAATACAATCTATCATGAGGTCTAATGCTTTTTTTATTATACTTACTGTAAGGTGATTATTTACACATCTAAATTTCTACAGATCAATCCATGTACCAGATTATGACATGAGCACATGGTGGGTGTGACAGGCTTACAGGGGATGCTTAATCTTCCATTGCACCTAATCCCGCCTCCGATGCATTTAGAGGTTCATCTTTGCTCTCCTGTGGATTTGCATCATATTTAAATCATCTTAAGCTTTATACTGTTTGTTTACTCCATATTATCACAAATAAACATTTGGATTTTCAAAATTATGCAATTCTATTAATAATGATCATGCCTACTTTATGTTTGGCGGAAATTCAATAGCTATTGTACCTGTTGATACGCTTCAGTAGATTGTTTTCATAATTCATAAATTGTCAATTCCTGAGAGCAGTTTAAAACCTAAGGAACGCGACATAACAATCAACTGATATCACATCTTCTGTCTACACAAGACCCTCTGTTCCCATAAAGACGTGATAAATGATAATGCAATTTGGGACATTCTCTAAAATTGATGAAAATACATTAAAACATGTAAAAACATTTCATAATCTGTTGTAATTTACGAGTATTGTTCATCCTAGATTTACGCACTACATTGCATATCATGGTGTCGGAAACCAGATGCTTATGAGAATTCGTCACTAGTGCACCAAAGGTGGGGTTTTCCAAATTTTGCTGTCATGTATTTCACCTCTGTTTTTATTTTAATTAATTCTTTATTCACAGAACCAATTGAGCAAAATAAGACTATCATCTCATAATTCAACCAAAGAAAGTTTTCGTTATAAAAATATCTGACACGAAAACCGAATATGTGAACCCTGTATATCTCGAATTACATTTTGTATTGCGTATAAAATTATATTTGTATACTGGAAAATATACAATTATCCACATGTATGTTCTAATTTACATTCTATAGTAGTTACACAATTGTTATGGTTATTATGATGCTAATGAGACTGCATCACCATCGCAATGAGTGAAGTTTCCCAAATGTTGTTTCATCTGTATGTACTAGTATTCAAAGCCTCTTATTTTAATAATTTTAATGTGGTATTCTTTTTTTCGGGGGTGGGGGGGGGGGGGGGTATTGCAAACGTTTTCATTTGTTTTGATACTTTTAAAATTATTCTGGAAGTTTGACTGTGGCCAATTTAGATAACCTGAGTCGATACCTCTTTTACCACCATCGTTGATGTTCCTGGCATACTAACTAAACAGCGATTCCTTATATTTCCATTTCATTGTGAAATAAAATTGAAGATTAAGAATTTAAAAATGAAGACATTAATTCTCGCTCACTGACGTCAAACACATAGACAGCTTCGCAAGAAATTAAGTATCGTCATGTATGCACTTACAATAAATGCCACAATCAACCATCAAATGTGGTGTTTGTGCGACTCTTCAGATCCTATACAGGTTTGGCTAAGTAATATTGGTAGCCATGCGTAAAATCACTTATCATCATTGGACCTGAAAACATACAAGTGAAACCGTTTTAATTAAATAACGATGGAAATTTTAACGATTGTCACTCAAAAAATACGTTTTCCGACTTTCTCAAGGTTTCTTTTATTATCATGAAATATATGAAGATATTAAACAAGCAGTTTTTAAAGTAGAAAGGTCCATTAAAAAATGTAAATCGGGTGCAAAGCAAATAATATCCCCCACTTTTCAAGCGGGGGACAACAAGGGCCTCTGGAACATCAACAGTGGGATCAGGTGCCATATAGCATTCAGAGAGGTGGATTTTACTCGTAGCGCTTCATTTCTTAAAAGTAATGGGCCTCGGCTCCATTACTTTTAAAGCGCTACTCGAACATTAACATTAACCCTTACGTAAATAATGGTCTAACAAATGAAAAAGGTTAGTCAGAATATAATTAGACTTAATGATAGATTGTGCTTGCTGACAAGGTTAAAGTATCGAGCATAGAACTTTTGAAAAGATTACTCTGAACGAGAATATTCATAATTCTTGTTTTATCAACTTACATGTATTTGTCAGAGATATTTTGATCGATACAATTGAAATAATTTGAAAAGAAAATAATATATATTCCGCCAGATATTTATCAAAAGTACCAATAACTTCCTAACTGGGATGACGGAGCATAGGTCAAAACTGAGAAATTCCCCTACAATATGTACATACTGTGGTTTCATCAATTTTGGTTGCCATCAATTTTCGTGGAATTTGGAAAACAGACGTTTTCGAGGATACGTAATTTCGTGGACGAAGGCATTGTCTATACAAATGAATATCATATTTCTCAATTTAATGAACATTTAATTTCGTGGATCTGCTCAACAACGAATTCCTCGAAAATTGGTTCTCAACGAATATCGATGAAACCACAGTAAGTTATAATGGCTGTAATGGTTACATGTCCTACAATATATGGTGCTTAAACATATATTATAGAAATTTAAACGTACAATTAAATTATTTGTTTTAGAATTTCAAATGCCAAATAGTAACATAATAATACCGCTTTGTATGAAAGACATCTATTCTAAAGAAGCGTGTCATCATCATTTGAAAAAAATGACGTCAAAATACACGCCAAAAAGTAGCAAGATTCATTATATACCCGGTATTAAATTCTATAATGTTTTCAGGAAAACGCTTAAACAAACTTTGATAATGGAGTATTATTACGATTTTATGATTAGTTTGAGAGCTATAAAATGATATGACAGAAGAATTTTTAAGAGCCGTTGTTTTTGACTTTACAATTTGTACGTGCTCTGTGGTAACAAGACATTAAGATATTCCTTAATCAAGGGAAACTATTTTCAATTTGAAGCCTGCTTCTGAATAATTTTAATTACTATCTCATTCATTTTTTCAAGCGTTTATAAACACATTTATTTTGTTGATGTATAAGGTTTCATTCCTTTTATTTAATGTTACTCAGCAGCATTAACTTTTTAAGTTACCACTATTTTTCCTACCATAATTTTGATCAGAAACCACTTCCGATAGTATTTAAAACATCGACACAATATGGGTGAATTTAACCTTTATTGATACAAATATTAGAGCAATGAACAAAAGTCAAAAGATATTAGTGGCTCGGACTTCATTACGATGAATTTTAAATTCAGAAAAAAATATATATATTTATATATATATAGTGTTCAGGATACAATATGTTTCTCAGAGAAGATGAAAACAAATACATCACTGGCTAAATACAAAAAGCAAACTAACATCGATACATGTACGAAAAAAACGAAATATACTGATGCTGATGTGTCTATGAATGATATTACCTCATCATGTTTTGGAAACAATGAATTACAGTGCATAAACTCAGTTCAGAACTACTTATTTGACATATCCGAATAATCACTCAATATAAAACAATCAAGAGGAATTCCACTGGAAACGATTTCGTTGTTTGTTGTTACTTCCCGTACCACGGGTTTTGTGTTGTAAAGCCGAAATCGTTTAATTCATTTTCGGTTTGTTTCAACACAACGGCATAGAGGACAATAACGACGACAACAGCGACGACGCCTAATCCAAGCGAGGTCAAGGTCAACCATTTGGCCACACCAGCACTGGATCGCCCTCCCTCGTAGTCACCAACATCGAACCGGGCCCTTGCCTGCACAAATAATTCAAATATATGATGAAAAACACATGTACATGTATACATGAACCATATATACCGCTGCAAGGCAAGGGTTTCTGGTCCGATCCGATCCTAGCTCACAAACATTGTGAGGAGAATAGAGGATCAAAAACCCTTGGCTAGCGAAGATTAAGTTTATCATGCAGGCGGCGTAGTTCATGTCCTCATGAATTCTCAAAAATTAAATTCATCAAAATATGTATTAACTGTTAAACTATATTTGGATGAAATGCAATTGTATGTCGGTTTATATCTCATTGCTGTATATGCAGAAGATAAACATCCTACATTGACGGCTGCGATAATGGCGCAGATCCCAGTAGGCCAGAAGCAGCAGAGACAGGAAAAAATGGCGGGAACCAGCCAGTCATATCCTCTTGGTGCAGCAACCACGATGGGTGCAGCCGTATTGTTGACCTTCATTGTGAAAAAATAGTAATTAGTCTTTGTAAAAAAAATTTACTTTTTTCACGTATGTATATGTATAAATATACTCGCAAACACAGGCACCTGACGTTACTCATTTTTCTTTTAATAAAAAAATATACATATACCTAATAATAAACGTTTATTATTACTAGGTATGTGTATAATTTTTTTATTAAAAGAAAAATAAGTAACGGCAGGTGCCTGTGTTCGCAAAGTATTGAAAATTGCAGTACAAATTTGAAAGATTATTTTTTTGAATTTACATGTTCGTGAAAAAATATTTTTTTAAAACAAAAAAGAATTCTACAAATGAATTTTCAAGTGCTTTGTCATGACTTACAACGACATTTGTAGAGGAACTCGTCATAGGAAAACCATAACCCGCCGCCTGCTGTTGTCCGTACGCGGGAGGGGGTTGGTTGTACCCGGCGTTGTATGCTATAATTAGAAACATGAATAACCTTACGATTTGTTTTTTCCTGCATTTTTTCCTTTTTGATGGAAACAACGTGGACAGGATATGATTAAGTTTTAAAATCACTTACGGTTCTGTGGTTGATCCTTTTGTACATATCCAGCATTCTGAGCTGTAAACACAAACAATAATACAGATTGAGAATTAGTCTCTCAAATATTCTGAACTGATTTTACCCTTCCTTTTACATACCATGCATTTTAGGGGATTGATAGAAACACGAGTACATAGTTAACTCTCACTTAAATGAAGTTTCTTTTTTGGAGTGTGGTTGGAGGGCATTGAAGCAAACTTTTGATCTAAAGTTGTTTCAAATGGGAAAGAAATTAAGGATCTGTTAAGAAATAACTTGACTATATTTCTTTCATTATAACTTGACAAAACATGAGCATTATATATATTACTATGTACAGATGCTGTCATGTGTCATTTTAGATTATATTCCGATTATTTATAAATTATATTGTTCCAAAATATATATAATTCAGTGTATCAAAATACATGAATCTGATATTTTAATATATTCCATGAAATGGTCTGTAAACCAACCAGCTTTGTTCAGGGACACAAAATACAAGGGCCAAGATTCTATGTCTATCATACCATTGTCACAGAGTTCTTCTTTGTGGCATTTGGAAGAAATTTATCCTTTTCCTTTTAAATGATACGGGCAAATAATGAATTTGAATTTCAGTTTCGAAAATGCATGAGGTACAGAAACTACAACCCTTTGTGATATGTGCCATTAATTGTTAAGAGTCGTATTTCATTTCCTCATGAAATCTTGAAAATGAAAAAAAACACAATTTTTTGATATGATTGATCTCAGCTACTACAAATGTGGTTAAAACATAATCCTTAGTAAAACATCCCTCGAATATTATTGGTGAATTAATTTTTTTTAATCTAAGGGCAAACTTTTTTTTCGAAAATTGGTAGATAACAGTATAAAACTTAAACTTGATCTGGAAATCACCAAGATAATGCATACAATGTAGCAAAAATTAGCTCCTAACTAAACATGGATCTACAGAAAAATAAAAAAACAAAATAGAAAAAAGGAAAACTTTCAAAAATTGGACATTTTCAAAGATACAGGGCAAAAACTCTTGTTTCCATGAGTCATTAAATCAAAAATAAAATTCGAAGTTGATCTGTAAATAATAAAATATAAAGAAACTATCCCTATTAGCACAAGAAGAAACTGTATTAATGAAAACGGTTTTTTTTTATTTTCAAGCATAAAAAACATTATCTATAAACACGTAAAAAAAGGAAACATTTTTTAATAATAATTTTCAAATATTAGGGCAACAGTTTTGTATAAATGCAACTCGATCTGTAAATCATCAATATAAGGACACATACAAAACAAATGTGTCGTATATATGAACACAACAAAACAAATTCCATAAAACTACGATGGAATGCTAGAATGACAATCAATGATAAGCAAACATTTCCCCAACCCATCTGATACAAGAAAGAAATCGTAGAATCGGGTGAATAGTTTCTTTGCCTTGTCTGTCCGTTTGTTTGTCCGCAAAAACTTGGCAATGAACTTTGTCCTATACTTTTTAGTGGGTGGGGCTATGGCTTTCACATTTCACATGTGTATTCCCTTATAATAACAAGAACTTTCTTAGGGTATCACAAAATTTAACATCTTGACCTTGGAGTTGGACCCAATTTCACAAAACATTCCACGCTTTAACCATGGCCATAACTTTTGCCTTTGAACAGTAGTTGCTGGGGCTCTCATAATTCACATGTGTATCCATTGTGAGAAGACCTTTCTTTTAAAACCAACAATTTTGACCTTTTGACTTTGGAGTTTTACTTGGCATTTGAGAAAATTCAGCTCTTTCTATAAGCTGCCATACGAGCTAGGATATTAGTATTTAACAAACACATCTTACTTTCCTAGGTACAGTAAGTAGCCCTCATTCAACTACATGTATAGGAAACCTTGAAGTTTAATGTAAAAAGGTTTCTATAGACGTGTTTTAAAATATTTTTTTCAGTTTTTACATCGTTTAGGTGACAAAAACTAAAAATACTTTGTTTCTTAAGGACTTAGATTTAAAACAAGCTGTGTTTGTTAAACGCAGTTTGATGCCCTGTATGACAGCTTATGGCGAAGGTTAAAGTTTCTCAAATGCAACTCCAAAGTCAAAACAACAAAACTGATGTTACCCAAAGAAAGGATTTGTGTCAATGGATATACCAGGTAGATATGAAAGCCCATGCAAGATCAGTTCAAAAGACACAAGGTTATTGTTATGTTAATGTTTTTTAAAGTAGGCAAAACTCCCTGATCAAGGTTAAAGAGTCAAAATAATTGGTACACATTGTGATTAAAAATAAACATGCAAATAAAAAAGCTCTAGCACCAACTATTCAAATGTTATGACAAAGATGAAGTTTTTTTCCAAAGTATGTCAAACTCCAAGGTCAAAAGGTCAAATTGTTGTTATCCACAGAAACTTATAGGTATTGTCACGTCCTACATATAGTACTAATTGTTCAAAACTTATGACTAAGGCTAAACTTTAAAAAAAAAGAATGGATGAAATATTAAGGTCCAGTTCAGAAGGTCAAAATACAAACAACAATGGAAAGTTTTTGGCTCGATAAATACACGGTCATGTGAAATATGAATACCCTTACATCAAGTGTTCAAAAGTTATGTGTTCAAAGGTTAAAGTAGATTAATTTTTTGCAGAAGTGGGTCAACTCCAAAGTTAAATTGTTCGGTATCCAAAAGAAGGTCTTGGCACAAGGAATGCACATGTGAAATATAAAAAGTGTTAAAGCTTTACCAATCAAAAGTTATTGGTAAGTTTAAAGTTTTTGCTGACATTCGGACAATTAGACAGACGGACAAACATTCGGACAGACGGATGACCAGGGCAAAAACTATTTATCCCCGAATCTTCGATTACGGGGGGACATTAAAATTACATTTTAAAAGAAAGGCGGGAGTCGTGGACATAAAAAAAATCATTACTTTTATTCAGTTTCGTACATTCATCCTTCCAACTTTTTGTTTAGATTAGGTGTACTTTAATTTGATTTTAATTTAAAAAAGAAATACACGTCATACTAAATACTCATGCTTCCTTTTAAAGGATACAAACATACTATAATTATAAAATTCATTCAAGCATTTTATTGAATTTTGATGAGCATTTCGACAAATAGGTTAATACAAAATTCAAATGTCGATGTGTTGATTTCTTTGAACAATCTCTGCATTGATTGCAACATGAATATTTTAACACTGCAATGTCACAAAATAAAAAAAAACCTGTCGAAGTGCAGTGATTTAGACGTATACATAGTTTTATGCATCACTTGAACACGACAAAAAGTTTATTTTGCTTTACAACTCTTATCAGGGCGGAGGGATCAATTTGTGTAGCTTTAAGAGCTCTACAACACTTACAGTACGAACTCTCATAACACGAGGCCCGTGCGTTTCATCGCTAACCCGAGTCACTTTTGGCCCTGTTGTTGTTGTTGTGTATTGTATTTCATTCATAATGAGCATGAATTCTGAAAGCCTATTGTGGTCCTACCCTTTACGCGGGGGATTTGAACAAAAAAATTAATATACATGTATGATTTAATATATGATGCTTCAAAATTGATATTATTCGCCATGGCTTTGCTGCTCCTGAGGAGTTTAACGTATTTCTCATAAAATTCCTATCGTACAATCCCACCCCTAGGGACCATGCAGAATCTGATGATTTTTTTTTACAATCTATATTTACCTCTTAAAGCTTTCTTCTACGTTTCTCTTTTTCTAGTTATTAGTTCAATTTAAGATTCTCTTTACCCAAAAATGTTGTGTACCAGTTTTGATAGATATTAATAAGTCCTATGGTTCTTGAAAAGAGGTTAATTGTTGAAAATGGGAAAAGTGTACAGACAAACAGACTGACGGAGGATAATGAGTGATCAGAAAAGCTATTTTCAGCTTCAAATCAGGTTAGCCAAAATTCTCTATCTGTTTTAAGAGACATTTGCTTTTCATGCCAAAAGAAATCTAATAAGGAAGAGTTCTGCTACTGGGTAAATATTGAATGGGGAAATTTATGGGATTTTCTTTTTACCTTACAGAAAAGATAACAGAGTATGTTAACCTTGTCTTGCGATATTTGGGAGCAATTACGTGAGGAGTGCGAGAAATATCAATTTGTCCAAAAAAATCATTTCTTTCAATGTGGCAATAGTTACATGGATGTTTCTATATATACATGTAAATAGTGACGTGATAAATGCCAGTTGCAGTTTAATGTATACTATTTTGTCCTTATTTTTTGTCTTTTTAGAGATGGTGTTCATCTGTAAAATGAGATTTCTATAGACTTTAAATGCTAAAATCAGGATATTTTTATCCTGTTTTTAAAAACCGTTTTGTCTGCAAGGCACACACTCAAAGATTTCTACCACAGCGATGATCAAGTTTAAACCTCCAGTACTGTGTTGGAATTGCAGGAATTTGGGGCTGAATATAAAAGTAAAGGCCAACCAGAAAAAGTCTTTTTTAAAAAATTCTGTGGAAAAAAATTGGGAACTTGAAAAAGAAAAAGCATAGTCAGTTACGTATATTTTCTGTTAAAAATCGTGCAATTTAGACTAACCAATTTTTCGATACTATAATAAGTAATAATAAGATCATATTAAGAGAAATCTTCGTCATGAAGAATGGGCAGAGCGGAGAGAAGCCCATTTTTCGTTACGAAGATTTCTCTTAATATGACCTTATTGACTTAGAACAGAACCCCAGCCAATCAAATGAATTGGTCAAAAATAATTTTTTTCACATTTGGCTGTGCCATATATAAAATACAAGTTGATCTTCATTGTATATCAGAGACGAACATCAATATTGAACACACGCGGTTTAATCTACAATTTTCAGGTTAGCATGGATTTGTGTGAAATTGCTTGATTTACTTGGAAACTGGTATGGTAAAGATATTAGATTAAGCTACTGAGTTAAAGAATATCCATGTAAAAAGAATCTTAATATCTATTTTATTTTAATAATTGTGTTACAATGTAAGATGACAAGGTCCTAGTCGGCAGAAGTGGACATCGGTCTAGAGTCAAATAAAATATGAAAAATGTTTAATCTGTCTTCAGAGACAAGGTTGGTCTCTGATATACATAATTGTATCTTCTGTATGTGAAATGTGAAAAAACTGTATTCAGAAAGGCGACAAAAGATAACAGTGGAAATAAAAAAAAGTGTAGTAAGGCCTAGAAATTTTTGAATATCATTGTAAACAGCACCTGGCTTTTGCAATAATTTGTTTTTCTGTGATGAACAAAAACCAACAAAGACACACCCATATAACTTTCAAGTGAACCCATCAAACACCGTTAAATATTTCAGAATTAGAACATAACCTACTTATTCAGCCTATCAAATGCTTTTATTTCTCGCGAAGAATTGATTCTTCATGGTGAAGAATTCTTCTATTTCTGAAATATTTAATGGTGTATGATTGGTTCACTGGACAGTTTTATGGGCATGTCTTTATTGGTTTTTGTTCAGTACACAAAAAGAAACTATTCAAAAACCATGTGCTATTTACAATGATATTTAAACTTTCTAGGCCTTGCTACACTTTTAAACTTTTGTCTTTCCACTGTAGTCTTTTTTCGCCTTTCTGAATATAATTTTTTCACATTTCGGTACATACATAAGACACAACCACCATCATGTATATTAGAGACGAACCTTGTCTTTGAAGGCAGATTTAAGTCACAATATTCATCATATTTTCATTCGACATTAGACGGCGATTCCCACTCCTGCTGACTAGGGCCTTGTCATTTAAACACAATTATTTTTTAACCAGAAGTCTCTGTCGAGACTGAAGCTCTACTGGTTTGTACTTATAGCAAAGGAAGAGAAAAGTACTTAAGCAGTTGGGAATTGAAACTTTACAACGGCAATAAATAGAATAATGATCCTTGATAAAGTCTCTTTATGTTCTTATGCCCTGTTCACACGACAAGTTTAATTCGCAGTAATTTAATGCGAAGTAAACTAATGCGAATCAAACTAATGCGAATTAAATTGCGTTCACACGACAGCTAATGCGAAGTAAACTAATGCGAATTAAAAATTTACTTCGACAGTCAGGCGTGAGGAAGGCTATTATGACGTCATTTGCAAATCACGTCACCTTATGCAGAAGCAGATGCATTTGACATAATGTCACAGCGTCTGGGGACATATTTTAGTGATTAACACATTTTTTCTTAGTTTTTCACTCAAAAATAGCATAAGTACTTAAAGCTGACCACCGACATGACGCATTTGACTTCATTTTGCCATTACGCATGCCCCAAAATTTAATTCGAATTAGCTTCGCTTAGCGTTCACATGGAGCTATTGCGAAGTAATTTAATGCGCAGTAAACTAATGCGAAGTAAACTAACTCGCATTAAATTCTCCGTGTGAACGCTAAGCGAAGCTAATTCGCAGTAAACTTACGTTTAATTCGAATTAAACTCTCCGTGTGAACAGGGCATTAGTGTAGTCTACTTGTGTGCCAAGTTGTATTGAAATCAAACCAAAACTGTAGGATGAGTAGCATCTTGAAACAATTTTAGACATTTCTATTTTTAGTAACCACGGCAACACCGTTCATCGAAATCAAAAACCGATACACAGAATTATGTATCTTAGTGTAGTCTAATTTTATGCCATGTTATATTGAAATCAGACCAAAACTGTAGGAGGAGTAGCATTTTGAAAGAATTTCACAGAAATTTCTATTTTTAGTAACCACGGCAACACCGTTCATCGAAATTAAAAACCGGTAAACAGAATTATGTATCTTAGTGTAGTCTACTTGTGTGCCAAGTTATATTGAAAACAGATCAAAACTGTAGGAGGAGTAGCATTTTGAAAGAATTTCACAGAAATTTCTATTTATAGTAATCACGACAACACCGTTCATCGAAATCAAAAACCGATATACAGAATCATGTATCTTAGTGTAGTCTACTTGTGTGCCAAGTTATATTGAAATCAGACCAAACTGTAGGAGGAGTAGCATTTTGAAAGAATTTCACAGAAATTTCTATTTATAGTAACCACGACAACACCGTTCATCGAAATCGAAAACGGATAAACAGAATTATGTACCGTATGTAGTCTACTTGTGTGCCAAGTTATATTGAAATCAGATCAAAACTGTAGGAGGAGTAGCATTTTGAAAGAATTTCACAGAAATTTCTATTTTTAGTAACCACGGCAACATCGTTCATCGAAATCGAAAACCGATACACAGAATTATGTATCTTAGTGTAGTCTGCTTGTGTGCCAAGTTATAATATTGAAATTAGACCAAAACTGTAGGAGGAGTAGCATTTTGAAAAATGTTTACAGACAGACGGACAGCTAGACAGCTAGACAGACGGACAAACGGACGGACGCCGGACGCATTACTATCGCATAAGCTCTTCTGGTCTCTGACCAGCAGAGCTAAAAATATAGATATTAAGATTCTTGTTACAAGAATATTCATTAACTCAGTAGCTTTAATATCTTCATCATACCGTTTCCCTAGTAAATATATATTATCATAACAGTAACTTGATCCGAAGGGTCGTATCACGTCGAGTTGACAGGCGCGGAGCTTCAGATCTAACGAGACGCGAAGCGTCGAGTTTGATCTGATGATCCGCGCCTGTCAATGAGACGTGATACGGCTCTTCGGATCAAGTTACTGTAACAGTTATAATGATAAATTTATTATATACCCCCTCATAACTAGCAAAATAGAGCAAAATAGAACTTTAGAGATCAATTGTATAACATTTATCCATAAAACAAAGCATAATAACAAGGGACTTTTTAACGCGCAAGAAAAATCACGTCATGTTTCTGCGTACTACGTCATCAGTTTCAGAGAGTGGTAAACAACAGTGTGGTGATCCGGAAAATCACTGTAAAATCAACAGTAAAATTGAGTGATACACATTAGGTATATAATAAATCAAGCTATTTTATATAATTCCATACTATTACTAGCCTGAATTCTGAAACCGCGTGTTCGATATTGATTGCGTGCTCGGTATAATATATCGATCGTATATGTACAACAAGCATTAAAGTTGGGCATTTTATATGACACAGCCGTCGCGGTGGGGGGGGGGGGGGGGTTTATTTTTAATCCATTCATTTGATTGTTCTGTTCTAAGTTAGAGAGAAATCTTCGTCATGAAGAATGGGCTCCGCTCCGCCCATTCTTCATGACGAAGATTTCTCTTCATATGATCTACTTACTTTTACATAGAAGAATTCTTCACCATGAAGAATCAATTCTTAGCGAGAAGCATTTGATTGGCTGAATAAGTAGGTTATGTTCTAATGCTGATGAAAATTCAGTTTTACGATGCAATTTTCCACTTCCAATACCGTGTAACTGGGTGTTTGTGTGTGATGTGTGTGCATGGTGGTACGTGTACATATCATCTGTACATTCTAACATATCAAACATATATGTATCAGACAGTCAATTTTTTATACCCCCTGCTTGAAAAGTGGGAGGGTATAGAGTAATCGGTATGTCCGTCCGTCCGTCTGTTACGCTTTGGGGTACCCATCTCTTATCCGCAACTCCTCTCATACCACTTAAGGAAATTTAATGAAACTTTCAGAGAATCTTTATTGCATATTGCCATTGTGCACCTCTATCATTTAGTGAGCTCATCGCTCACAGTACCTCTAGTTTCAATAAACTCCTTTTTCTATAAACCAGTTTTAAGAAACCGCGAGGAAGAGGTGTCACAATTTTTTTTTGGTCTGTCTGTCTGTCTCCATATAACTAGGATGAATTCCAACCCTATCAGATTATAGGCCACATATAATTGCCCCGAGTTACCGTTTGGATAGCTGCAGATCTGTAGCTCGCTGGTCTGAAAAAATTAGGATGGACAACCGAAAAAATCTCAGGTCTGTTAGAATATACATTTTTTTTTTTGGAGAGCTACAAGTCTGCAGCTAACGTTTGTAGTGTACAAACTTAACATGTTTAAGTATTTTAAGTGATCTTATTTATCAACGTCCTTTGCCAGACACATCTTGGTGATATCAAAGGTCAAATTTAGGTTTTCCCTTTTCATAAATGAGTCACATACGGGAGCATTTGGATTTTCCACAACGCACCTTGTTTTAAACTATTGACATCATATGACAGTTTTTAGCATTGTTAGATGCTTATGCTTATGCATTCAATTTTATTCAAATTAGTTGAAATTTGCTTTTACATTTAATACAAAAATATGCCCGATATGAAAAGCGCAATCGTTCAATATTATTCACTCGCAAAAAAAGTCAGAGAAAAATATTGAATTTGGACGTGATTTAATTGCTTAGTTTTGATTAATATTTTAAATTATTTGATTTTTTGTTACGCTATTGTTCCGAGAAGTTCCCGTCTACCGACTTCGGTCAACGTTGGCACAAAGTATGTACGGTTATTTATCAAGTTGACTAGGCTTGTGACAAAAAGTCTGTAACTGTTTACTTTAAAAAGACACTGATAAGATTTGATTTTTTGTTCAACTTTTACTAGTATACCTGAAGTAAAGGCCTTTTCGCTTTGTATAATTTTTTTTTCGCTTTGTATAATTAATTGATAAAGGAAAATAATTAATTATAAGTTAATCTAATATTTTCATTATGTAGTAAATAGAACTTTAATAACAATACTCACGATCTACTTCGTATTTCTGTCCGCTCGACATCTTTGGTCAGAGAATTTCAGAATAATAATCACAATGTACTTTGTAAATTCCCAAACTTGTGCCTCTGACAAGAACTCCTGGATCTGTAATCAATGGACTTGAACAAAGTTTCGCACGCTTCACTGACCTTTATTTACCCGGAAGTAAATACCTGAGACGACGTAAATACGACGTGGGTTCTCAATCTTTTGCAACAAGTGAATGTGATTTTAGTTGAATATATAATAATAAAAGATTTATCTTGTGAAATACAACTGTCAAACGAGAATGACAAAGTTTTCAATTCCTACCTATTTAGAAACAGGCAAAATTTGTTACATTGATGGGACCAGTACAAACATGGGGACAATGATTTTTTTCCTCGAAGAAAACAATGGGACAAAAACTTATTTTGGCATTAAGTACCAATGGGGCATGTGTACAAATGGATGCAGCAAAGTCAAATTAGGGTTATTTCATAATCATATACTTTACATACGAATGGTGTCTCAAGTTAATCAATTCGGAAAATATTCATTGTTTAATCATTCCAACAAACGTTTATCATTGTTTGAAATATCTATTATCTGAAAGACTCCTCCAGTAACTTTAATTAATTCTTAACAAACGTTTAACAAACGTTTATCATTGTTTGAAACATCTATTATCTGAAAGACTCCTCCAGTAACTTTAATTAATTCTTAACAATGTACCTCTTTGTAATCTTTGTTCCAATAATCTCATAAAGTTAAAACATCACTGTAACCTTTTTTACAAGTCGAAAGACATGTGATGACAAATATTTTGTTAAGATAAGAATGCCATGGGGCGGGTATTTTTTTTTTAATGAGAACTATGTTTTTAAATAAATTATTGTTAATACCTTTAAAAATTTGTTCCTATACAAATTTTTACGAAAAAAGTCCAACATTTCTAATGTTTTGCTGAGCGGGGAAAAAAATCGATGTTGGACCGCAAAGTGGGATGTTGGATCGGTCGATGAGATGTTAGACCGCTTACGTCGCAGAATAGGCGGAGTTTAATCGCATTTTTATTCGTTGGTGTTCATGATCAAAAGTGACGGACCTAAGGTTACATCACGGAAGACAGTACAAAATATATGTTTGTCAAAAAAAAATAATAAAACGAAAGGGATAACAAAACATTTATTAACTATGTTATCGGGCAAAATGCGTTTTGTCGGACCCAAGAACCAAACTGTCTGCCTGTGGCCGTTTTGTCGGACCCAAGAACCAAACGGTCGGCCTGAGGCCGACAAAACGCATGTTGCCCTCAAACTTAGACGATAAATGTATACTATTTTCTTTTTCTTTCCTTATGAAATAATCATGATGATTCATGATAACAAAGTCAGTCAAAAGCTTTAGAAGTCTTCGAGTGGGCAATGCGGAACTGCCACCAAGTAACACGGCAATATCACGGTAATATGCACATATATATAGGGGTTGTAGGTATATAGCAGATTTGAAAGAAATACGGCGTACAATTCTTTCTACGGATAGTGTTCAGGCATGCACACACAGACACATGACGTTATTTGTTTTATTTTAATAAAATAAATACAGGCGCGTATTAGTACGGGGGGGGGGGGGGGCAGCAGCCCCCCTCCCCAACTTACTTTTCAAACATAAGTTTTTCTATTGAAAATGTTCATTGAAAGGCCGTTACCCCCCCCCCCCCCCCCCCCCCCCCCCCACACACACACACACACACACACATTTGGGTAAAGTAAAGTGATATTAGGGTAATGTAGTAATTGTACAAAGAGAATTTGATACTGAAAGAAGTTGGTGATGAAAAGAGTTGGCCTCTACAACCAACATCCCCCCCCCTCACGAAATAGGATTTTCAAGTTTGGGAAATTTATTTTGCATGTCAACTTTTTTTTACAGGTAAGAATTTTTTTCTCTGATGCCCCTTTTCAGCAACGACGCTACGTCGCTGAAATATAACCCCTTATCTATGTAAACAACAAGATAAGAAGTTCAGCTTTAAGTACAAGCGTTATGCAGGTATATGGGCCTCTTGTTTGGTTTAGCGACATACTTGTAATAACGAGATCAAGTATTGATCTCCATTCTTGTCCCAGAATAAATCTGTCTAATAATATTTCCTTGAATTAGGCTCGGTAACATAAATTGTTTTACCACCACCCACAAACACAACACACTGACTGAGTAATAAAATGTACCTATAGTCATACAAAGAAGTTTGATGCCTGACAGTACTGACTCTAATTCGATAAAATTTCTTCATGTCTACGATAATTCAGACCACGAAACATGAACTGACAAGATCGGAAATATGCAGCTTACGTCATTTCTATCTGTTACAATCAAAACATTCAATGATAGACAATTAATGAAATGGGTGGGTAACAATTCGACGCGGACGGCGGAGAAAACATTGGATTGAAATGCGAGTTTGAAATTCATTTTCAATCCACATGAGCTGTTTTCAAAAGCAAAGTGTGAATGTATGATTCTAAAGACAAATAATTTTGATTTCCAAATGCATGTTGGTTGAAATTTATCTTGATATGAGTTTATCATGTTTATAGGCTATAATATAATGTAAGGACACTACTAAAAGTCATAGAAGACATTTTTTCTTAACTTTCTTATTTATTTCCAAGATCATTGAACCCCCCCCCCCCCGCCCCAACGCAATAGATACATATAAATCATATCAAACAGAAATCAAATATTTGTTCCTTCATATATTTGTTTAAAATGCTGGACATTAAATTCTTATTTATATTTATTATTTTCAAACTATACTGAAATTGAAATTATTTTTCTTCTGGGTCAATCAGAAATAAAGTGCCTTCTAGCGTAGCTTAGGTGGATTGAAAATGAATTTCAAACTCGTATTTCAATCCAATGTTTTCTCGGCCGTCCGCGTCGAATTGTACCCGCCCATTTCATTGTCTATCATATTGAATGTTTTGATAGTAACAGATAGAAATGACGTAAGCTTATTACTTATATCACTTATTCGAATAGGTGATATCACCTATTCAAAATCTCAATAGGTGATAGTGATATCTATATGGCACGCCAAATTCACAAAAATGAGCTAAACATAGTTTCTCAGTCGATAAATTAGGTTTATCGGTTGTAAACTATAGTTTACGGGCTGTAAACTATAGTTTAAAATGTCAATCTATATTTTACAGCTGTAAACCATAGTTAACGCGCTAATCTATGTTTCACAACCGTAAACTAAATGTATACTTAACATCGAAAACAATCATTTGCGATTGGGGAACATTTAATTCTGATAAATACAGTTTCACGATTTGTAAACTATGGTTTACAACTCTTAACTATAGTTAACGATCTGATAAATATAGTTTAACGATTTGTGAAACTATGATTAACAACTCTTACTTTATTTTACGATTGTAAATTATTATAGTTTACAAACGTGAATCTATGTTTATCAACAAAATATACTGTTAACGCTTTATTACAGACAGATAAACTTAATTAGCATTCGTAAACTATAGTTAACAACCGTTAAATATGTTTTTTTCAGATGAAAACTAAAGGTTACGAATTGTTAACTATACTTCACGGTTTGTAACCTATAGTTTACAGTCGATGAACCTAGTTTATCAACTGTGGAACTATGTTTAGCTCATTTTTGTGAATTTGTTGTGCCATAGATATAGGTGATATCACCTATTCGAATAAGTGATGTCACTTTTTTGGCAGTAAATACCAAAACGGTGCCCCATAGTAACGTGATACTTAATAAATTACTAGTATATGAAATGGTTCGATTGTTTACACACTTGCATATGATATTATAGTTTTAAAACTGGCAGAATTTCTATTTATACTACTGGGGGTTTAGTTGAGGGTAACTACCATGACAGGCATCGTCAGGGTTGAAGTTTCTTAAATGCAAGTCAAATCTCCAAAGGTCAAACGGTCCAAATTGTTGGACAGTACACAAAGGAAGGCCTTGTCACAGAGAAAACATCTGTGAAATATGTTCAAGCCTACTTCGAATTAGCTTTTCGAAAGTGATTGGTCAAGGTTAAAGTAAGATAAACAGGACTGGTCGAGACCACTAGATTTTCTGACGTCAGCATAAATTTGCATGTCTTTTTGAAAATAAGGTAGAAAAATGTAAAATTTTATGTGGGAATAGGTGGAATTTTTGTGTAAACAAATAATTAACTAAATAAACATAGAGATACTGTATAAACAGTGATTAATGAACAGATCTGGAATATAGGATAGGTAAATTTGCTTTTTAAAATTATGAATCAGACTTTTTTCTTAATATTTGAAGGAAAAAATGGAAATTTTTAAGTGAATTTCATCATGCTTTCCCCGTTGATTGTATTTTTTAAAATTCAGCTATTTAAATTCGTTTTTTTTTTATATTAATCTAATTAATGTTTTAAAATTAATATATCAAAGTGGGTATCTTTTTCTAAGAATTTAAAAAAAAATATGTTGAAAAATCCATTTAGCTGAATCAAATTAAAATAAATCATTCTTATCATAAGTCTATTTGTTTTTTGTTTTAAAATGTACAAAATATAGGTAAATCTAAGATGGAATATAATTAGTCTAATTACTGTAAAAGCATAATTACTATATCAAAACATCTATTGTTATTTGCATGTGGGATCGAATAGGTGGAATTGAGATTTTTAAAAAGTGGGAATAGGTAGAAGACACCAATTAATTAGCTATCTGTTTACTTTACCTACTGCTGAATGAGTCGCAATGCATTGTGGGCTGCTACAAGTACCCAGCTGTGTTGAAAATAAAGGGCAATTTGAATTGTTCCTTGGAAACTTATTTTCAATTCTTTTTTGAGATTTGAGAAAGAAATATTTAAAATGATGTATAATCTTTCATTTATGCTCACATTTACAAAATTTGCTTTATGAAGCCTTATATCAACTTATAATACATTGACCAATGTTGACCTAAACCATTGTTCAAAGAGACGTAGGTGCTATCGTGTCGATAAAACATTGATTTTTTTTTTTCACGTGATATACGTGTACATAGTTTTAGGTCCTTGGTTTTAGACAGCAGGAGAAGGTGTGCAATTATTTTAACCTCTCAATATTATCAGAAAGTGTTTTATGTACATGCAAACGTCAAAGCGT